CAGTGGTGCCTCGCAAGACGAAATTAATTCGTTCCGCAAGTTTTTTCTTCTTGCGAGTTTTTCGTCTTGCGAAGCACGGTTTCCCATAGGAATGCATTGAAAATCAATTAATGAGTTCCTATGGACACCGCTTGCCAGGCTGGCGGTGCGGAGAAGGGCTTTTCTCCCCACCGCAAGCCTTCAGGACAGGTACGGGAACAGAGGGGAAGGCGCGCAGCGCTTCTCCTCTGTTCCCGGGGCTTGCGGTGGGAGGAGGGTTTTTCCTCCCCACCGCCAACATTCAGAACAGCATTCTGAATGTTGGCGGTGGGAAGGAAAACCCTCCTCCCACCACAAGTCTTCAGGACAGCCATCCGAAGGCTGGCGCGGGGAGAAGGTCTCTCTGCCCCACCGCCAGCCTTCGGAGGAGCCTTCCGAAGGCTGCCGGCGGGAGGAGGTCTCTCCGCCCCACCGCCAGCCTTCGGAGGAGCCTTCCGAAAGCTGCCGGTGGGGCGGAGAGACCTCCTCCCGCCGCCAGCCTTCGGAGCAGCCTTCCGAAGGCTGCCGGTGGGGCGGAGAGACCTCCTCCCGCCGCCAACCTTCGGAGCAGCCTTCCGAAGGCTGGCGGCGGGAGGAGGTCTCTCCGCCCCACCACCAGCCTTCGGAGGAGGTCCGAGGACAGTGGGGAAGACGCACTGCGCTTCCCCGCTGTCCCGGAGATTTCCCTATGGGCTTTCGTCTTGCGAAGGAAGCCCATAGGGAAATTCATTTTGCGAAGCGCCTCCAAAACGGAAAACACTTTCGTCTAGCGGGTTTTCCGTCTTGCGAGGCGTTCGTCTTGCGGGGCACCACTGTACAGTGGAGGTGACCCTTCACAGTTAGTACTATGGCTCCCTTCTAAAGAAAGAGCTGCATCTCATTTGCAAGGGATGGGGAAAGAGAGGGAGAGAAAGAGAGAACGTTCAGAAAACCTGGAGAAGGGGAATCAAAGCTGAAAATCTGAAAGTTCTGTTGGCATTTGGAACCACTGATCTAGTCCACTCCCTGTCAAGGAAGTTGTCATGGACTTTGAAGACACTCAAACTCAGAACACAAAGGAGAAACGTGCTAAGAGGAAGGCACACTTGGCAAATCCACACCGTGATCAACTCCCACCCGGGAACCAATGTCCCCACTGTGGAAGGACGTGTGGGTCCAGAATTGGCCTCCACAGTCACTTACGGACTCATTGTTAAAACCGTGTTTATGGAAGACAATCTTACTCGGCTATGAGTGATTGCCGAAGAAGAAGAAGAAGAAGAGGAGGAGGAGGAGGAGGAGGAGGAGACTATGGAATCTCTCATAGGTGGCCATTCAGCCTCTACTTGAAAAACTAACTCAAACAAAGAAGATTGCACCACCTTCTGAGGCAGTCTGCGTCATTGCCAAGCAGCTTGTGCCATTAAGAGTTGTTCCAAATGTTTAGTCAAAAATTATCCTTTCTCATCATGTGAACTCATTTTTTCAGGGTCCTACCCTCTAGAGCAGCAGAAAACATAATTTGCTGCATCATCTAGGTCACAGCTCAGTATTTGACAACATCTTATCTCTCATTAATAGTAATCTCTTCAAGGCTAAACATAATTGGCTCCTTCAACCTGTCCTAAACTGATAACTTGGACAAAAAAAAAATAATAATAAAAAATAAGGATGTAAACCTCCTCCACAGCAGAAAGTGAGAGAGATGCTGCTCTAGCCAAAGGCCCTAATCCCATGCACCTTGTTCTAATACCATACTCCAGGGCTGCCTACTGGCCTAGTGTCATGAGGAGAAAACCAGCATGGGGTGGTGGTGGGAAGCAGAAGGAATCACAAGGGGGATGTTAGGAAGAAAAATAAAAAGAAGAAAGTCTTTGAAAGTGGGAGATGTGCATTCAATTTGGAAAGATATTCCAGTATTTACACAGCTGTGTGCTCCCGGTCTGTGCCGCAGCAGCCTTGCACCAAAATGAAAAGAGAAAAAAGACAGAAAAAGCTACTGTTCAGGATGGTGCTCAAGAGCCCAACCTCTTCCATTCCTCAAGCTCTGATGCCTTGACCCCAGCATGAAAACAGAAAGCCTCACAAAAACAAAGAAGCGGCCTGATGGAAATCTTAATTAGAGTAATGAAGAATTCTTGATTATTTAGGCCACCCGGAGAATTTGTGTTTACTACTTTACGGCAATAGCGTTTTGTAGGTCTGAGCATCAAGCTTTGCTTGCGCTTTCCGATTCAGCGGCTAATTAAAAGTTCCTGTTCCAAACTAGCAGATCTGCAGAATCTTCACACGTTGAAGAGGAACATGGCACGACAGGCTCCTGTTCCTTTGCAAGAAAAAAACCATTTTGAGCACCAGCTCAGCTAGATAAAGCCTATCTAGTTTTGCATCCTGTTTCCCACAGAGGCCAACCAGATGGCTCTTGGGAAGCCTATGCGCAGGGCATGAGGGCAATGTAGAGTCTTTAAAACTCGCCCTCAGAGGAAACAACAAGCCCAAGGACAGACAGACCCCCCATGACAGGAAGGGTGAGGAGGGATGCCGCCCTCCATCCCCAATGTGTTTCCAGAGCAGCTCTTGACAAATGAAAAATTCACTCGTGAGAGATAAATGGAAAATCAGCTAGTCCATCTCACAGAGCCCAAAGTTTTCATTTTTTTAAGTTTGGTTAAGTCAACGTGTCTAGAATCTGCAAATTTCTTCAAAACCGCTCTTAAGCAGATAAATGAAACAGGCTGGCAACTTCAGATATATTTTCAGAGATAAGCATATTCTAACTGCCTCAAATTCAAACAAGCATATAAGGCTCCTGTCTGTGGGGATTCAGGCTGTTTTCATGAGTGAACTTGTTAAAACCTTAACCCTGGGGGAGAAAAGAGAGTTGACTCTGAAACACATCAGGAATAAGGGATAAGTTCTATACAGCTGTTTTAACATTCTTTTCCCCTCAGATGTTTGTTCTCTGCTTTGTCTCCAGACTGGACCATCATTCACTTTGAAAGACGTCTCTGCAGTGTAACACCTTTGCAGGAAGGAAATAAACCCAGACAGCTGCCACATCCACTCTTTACTGCAGGACTAGCCGAGGTGGGGTGCCCTTCAAATGTTGGTAGACTACAACTCCTATCATCCTTGACCACTGGCCATGCTGGAGGGGGGCTGATGGGAATCCACGTTAGGAGGCCACCTGCTTTCCTAGCTACTGCTCCGCTGGTGTTCCACCCCTAACACTGGGCTCAGGCAAACAATGCAGCTCAGAGCTGCAGGGAGGTAAAGCAGCCACAAACCCAAGTTGAGGTGATGAGGATCTTCAAAAGTATTCAAAAATGGTGCTTCTTTCAGATAATTCCATAGCATTAATAGGACACGGGTGTATCAACAACAAAGATAGCCGTCTAATGCAACAGCCATGTTGAATAATATGAGCCTGCATATATATAATGTCTGCATATCAAACAAAACAGTACAAAGGAAGAATGGGAGACTCTCTACATCGGGGGCTGCCAAGGTGGTACCCCCTGGATTTTGTTGGACTCCAACTCCTATCGGCCACAGCCAGCACAGCTGTAGTCCATAGTTGTAGTCCAACAATATTTGGACAGCAACACCTTGGCTACTTTTGCTCAATACAGATGTGGGTTTGTGTAGACACTTCCCTGCCCTCCTGGTTTGCCCTTGCCACCCACCATTGGCATGTGGCCCTGGGAAACTTGCCCAGCAAAGAATGTGGCCCTCAGGTTGAAAAAGGCTGCCCACTCCAGGTGTATAGGAGTCCCTGAGTGACCTTCTATGCAGCTATATTTGAGCCTGCTGACTTTTTAACGCACCATAATCTCTAGAGGTGAAACATGACAAGGATGTGCTGCACTCGGAACAGTTTTTCCAACACCTTCACTGCTGAAAGCTTTACACCCCAGATAGTCATCTGTCAAATTTTAATTCCGTCAGAGATTTCATGCAGGAGTACAGACAGCAGGCTGGTATTTATACCACATTTCCCATCCAAGGTTTGTGAAGCTGCTTATAACTAAGCATACAAAAAGTGCCCTTTGTCCTCAAAACCACCATATAAGGTAGATTAGGCAGAGAGAGAGACACAGAGGCAGAGACAATGAAATGTATGCCAAGGTCATTCAGTCCAGCATGCAGGTGGGCAAGGATCTGAATGCTTGTTTCCCTGGTCCTTTTCTCACTATCTATGGTACCACTGGTCTTTAACTGGTGGGTCCTGACTCGTTTTCTAAGCCAGTGATGGGGAACCTGTGGTCCTCAAACAATCTTTTGAGGACCACAGGTTCCTCACCACTGCCTTAGAAACGACACCTCCCACCCATCACCCATGACCATTGGCCATGCTGGCTGAGATTGTCAATCAGAGTATTAGGCTAACCATCTGACTCACTAAAAAGAAATCACCTAGAGACACTCAAACCTGAGGCTGCAAAGATAGGACAATTCAACAGAGCCGTTTTGTGCCAACTCAAACATAAAAGCAGACAGACAAGTGATAAAGGGGTGTTTGTTTGTGTGTGTGCACAATCTTTAAAAAGAAGGCACATGTATGATTGCTATTTGACTGCAGCAGGTTTCACTTTTCTTTCTAAAAAATAAGAGGGAAGTGAGCATCCTTCTGGAAAACCATTCCACAACCTCAGGGCTAGGAATGTAAATTAATAAAAGGCTTTGAAGGTCAATTCTAGCACCTTGAGTTGGGTCCCAAAGCAAATGACATATGGAGTGGGTGGCTGTGGAAAAGATCCTGCGGCTCCTGGTGTAGACACAGCCATTGTATTACGTGCAACCTGTTGGGAATTTTCCATTCCACCTTTAGTTACAGACATGGAACTGTTACATGACACGTGTCTGTTTACAATCCAGCATTGTTTTACAAGGCTTTACACCGGAGCAGGACCTGCACCGTCACATGCTGAGATATAATCGGAAAAGGAGAAAAGCAACAGATGAGTGCCTTCTCTTATGCTTATCAGTAACAAAATGCTCACCGGATTGTATGTTTCATCTGCAGAATGCCTAACACCCCACCAATCTGAGGTCCACTCCCAGGCATTTCCCACAATGTTGTACAAGCCATAACCATTAGGAGGGAATGATGTTACCTGCCAAGAAAAGAAAAGAAAAAGAACAAAGGGTATTGGAGAACAGAGAGGTACACAAGCCAATACAATACAGTGGTTGTTGTTGTTGTTTAGTCGTGACCGACTCTTCGTGACCCCATGGACCAGAGCACGCCAGGCACTCCTGTCTTCCACTGCCTCCCACAGTTTGGTCAGACTCATGTTTGTAGCTTCGAGAACACTGTCCAACCATCTCGTCCTCTGTCGTCCCCTTCTCCTTGTGCCCTCCATCTTTCCCAACATCAGGGTCTTTTCCAGGGAGTCTTCTCTTCTCATGAGGTGGCCAAAGTATTGGAGCCTCAGCCTTATGATCTGTCCTTCCAGTGAGCACTCAGGGCTAATTTCCTTAAGAATGGATGCGTTTGATCTTCTTGCAGTCCATGGGACACTCAAGAGTCTCCTCCAGCACCATAATTCAAAAGCAAATACAGTGGTACATCGGGTTAAGTACTTAATTCGTTCCGGAGGTCCGTTCTTAACCTGAAACTGTTCTTAACCTGAAGCACCACTTTAGCTAATGGGGCCTCCTGCTGCCGCCATGCCGCTGGAGCACGATTTTTGTTCTCATCCTGAAGCAAAGTTCTTAACCTGAAGCACTATTTCTGGGTTAGCAGAGTCTGTAACCTGAAGCGTATGTAACCTGAAGCGTATGCAACCCGAGGTACCACTGTATTGTTGTTTTTATTTTCCACTTTTCATTTTATTTCTCCCTTGATCCAGAAGATAAATAAATCTGGTCCCTGTTTGAAGACTTCATACCTCACAGGGCATTTCACCTATCTGTATATATGGCATTAGTCATTAATGGGCAGAGCTATCCAAACCCACCATCCAATGGGCAAGGTGGGGTGACTGGGGAAAGCTGTCCCTCCAGCTAGCCCTACTGGGCTTTACTGGCATCTTATCGGTTACTGCCTGCCCAGTGGCACCAGTGGCACTCTGCTGGTGCAGAGCTCTCTCTTCTACTTGCCAAATGTGTGGGCAAGCGTCTCCTCTAGACCTGGGCAATTTTTCAACATATTGTTCAAAATCGGTTATGCAGTCCACAGCACAATAACGGTTTCATAAAATGTTATCTGGCAAACAGCGCGATTTTGAGAAAAACTGTGCAGCCAGCCAGTGATTCTTAGTGCTTCCTCTGCCTCCTGCAGCAAGCGACTCACAAGAGCAGGCATGGCAGCCGTCACTTTTTGATTCTGCAATGAGCCCCAGCTCAGCTCCTCTGCCTCTGCAAAAGCAGGTGACGATTATGAAAGGAGCTGGGAAAGCAGCAGTCAGCCAGCAGCAGAACTTATCCACCCTCACAATATACTTCTTTCGATTTTGTTTTTTTTTTTTAATAAATTTTTTATTGCGTTCCTTTCCATAACTTCAAACAATCCAAACACCAAACACTTCTTTCCATAACTTCAAACAATCCAAACACCAAACACTTCTTTCGATTTTGAAGCAAGCCCTGGCTCAGCAGGCTAGTAGCCTGCGTGACAGGTCTGTAGGTATGGTTTACAAAGATGTTGGTCTGAGCCTTTGCCCCTTCCTTACCCCCGTGAAAGAAGAAACTGGGGTTGCTTTCTTCAGAGTAAAAAAAAAAACATTGCCCTGTTACTTAACTCTTTTTCTTTCCTCCCGTCTCCCCTTCTGCCTGTGTTTGTGTGTGAGGGCATGTGCTAAGTGTCTCCCCTCCCTGATGCCTTTCCTGCCCCTTCCCACCACTCTCATGTAAAAGGACAAGAAACCAAGTTGCCCTGTTATTTAAGGCTCTGTATATTCCCGTCTCCCCTTTGGTCTGTGTGTGTACGAGAGTGAGAGAGGAGGCTTTGATGGAGCCCCTTTCCCTCGTGTAAAAGTAAGAACAAAAAACCAAGCTGCTGTGTAAGACATTGTTGGTTCGCCTTAAATAGCTTCCCTCATATAAAAAAGGAAGTTAACAAAAATATTATCTCATTGCTTGCTTGCCCTTCCTCCTTCCCTTTGATAAAAAGGGAGAGATTGGTGGGATGGGGGATTTGGGGGCGCTTTCTGTGGAGGGGATGGAGGAGGGAAGATTTAACAGTTGCCGCCTTATGCTGAAATGGGAGATTGGGTGGTTGTTGTGAGGTGAGAATGATGAGGAGGGTGGGTGCTTATCTTTAAGCAGTGAAAGCAAATGTGTGTCTGCTCAGAAGCAAGCTCTACTGAATTCAATGGGGCTTACTCCCAGGAAAGCAGAAGTAAGTTTAGTTGAACTAAGTGGGGCTTACTCATACATAGAATTGCAGTTTGCCTCTGAGTGGGGAAGGAGACACTAGTAAATTACTGAAATTACTCTTAAATTAGTAGAAAATCATATTCATGTTAAAGTAATATTTTTACTAAATCTACCACTTCTGTAAATTTAAAAATTGCCCCTGAAACTGCGAAGAACATTAATATATTCTCCATAAATCTTTAATGGTTTAGTTGAAGCATACTATCAATGAGTTAATTTTCATATAATTATATACATCAAATTTAGATTTTTGCTGTTGTTCAATATTTCCCCAGATTATTTGTATTCACTATGACTCACCACTGTATTCTGGATTGTCCTGGACCTGAATATATATTTGGTCCAAGCCCCAAACCAAAATCCTGTTTGGATGCATTTTGGCTTGCCTGCTGATGAAAGTGACGATTTCATCAGTGTGTGGTGATTTAGACCCATAACTTAGTAGGAGTTCCCAGGACATTACCATAGCTCCATCTTATTTCAGATACCGTGATATATCAGTATATCGTGATGTTTAGCTGGTGATATACAGTGGAACCTCGGGTTACAGATGCTTCAGGTTACAGACTCCGCTAACCCAGAAATAGTACCTCGGGTTAAGAACTTTGCTTCAGGATGAGAACAGAAATCACACGATAGCGGCGCAGTGGCAGCAGGAGGCCCCATTAGCTAAAGTGGTACCTCAGGTTAAGAACAGTTTCAGGTTAAGAATGGACCTCCAGAATGAATTAAGTTCTTAACCTGAGGTACCACTGTATTGTGATACTGAAAACCAGATATCGCATCAGTGGCAGCGAGAGGAAAGACCCAAACAGGGACTGAACCAGCCTGAGATCTGCTGGATCCTGAGCCAGCCTCACTGCCATCAAATGAAAGCATGAGAGCCAATCTTGGTCCAATCACTGCACCAGTTCCAGGCTGTTCTACCTGCTTTCCTGCCAACTGCGTATCTAAAAACCAACATTTCCAGATTGGGCCTTGGCAGAAGGTTAGCAGCAGAAAAGCAGAAAGGAAATATGCAAGGTCATGAACAAGGACACCATTCAGGTGTGGAATGATGTCTAGGCGTGGGTTTGGCAATGTAAGAGCAAAACAATCGAATTACAAAATCCTTGACATTTTTTCTTGCTAAGGGACAATAGGCATAAATCACCATCATGGATTGAAACAACTTGTTCTCATTGCATTTACAAGAACAATTGTTAAGTTGTCAATCGTCTACTTGCTGATCCTGACATTTGTGACCAGGGAATGATTTGTAGAAAGAAAAATGACACCCTGCATAGGGCAAGCAGACAGCCGGATGTTTCTCATCAACAAACCGGTTAGTAACTTCATTTGCAATGTAATAAGAATGAGGCTTCAGTCATCAGTTCATAGAGCCAAGTAGCCTACATCTTGAATACATGCCTTTTCTACACAAAAAGAAAGGAAAGGAAAGGAAAGGAAAGGAAAAGAAAGGAAAGGAAGAGAGACTACCAACTTCCTGCTTCTCATCTTGTTCCTGTTTTGTCTCTTCCTGCATTCATACTAAGGATTAGTGCGGCATGTGGCCATTTTTTTAATGGAAGAGTCACCACAAAGTGACTTTTCCCCATTTTCAGGTGGGATAGATGTCATGGGAAAGAATTTGTTCCTCAGCTTTTCAGCACCAAAAGAGAGACAATGGCCAAATTGCACTCTATGCCAGTGTTTCCCAACCTTTTTTGGGCAAAGGCACACTTGTTTCATGAAAAAAATCTCGAGGCACACCACCATGCCAGATGGGGAAAGGTCACTTTTTACTTATGTAAAAAAAAAATAAAAAAATAGTAACAGCATAGAAGGTAATGGTTAGGCTAGCATCCCTCTTCCAAATATGCTAGGTTTTTATTTGCAGGGACTGTTCTACATGGGAAAGCATTCAGCACTGTCATTCTCCCATCTGAATTGGTACTATTCTGGGTCAACTTACTCTGCTGCATGTGTAGATGAAAATGGCACCAAGTGTGGGGGAGGGGGCAGAACAGGTTTCAGATACAGGATATTAAGCATACACGTACTTCAGATTGAACTGGTTGCTTGCTTTGCAAGTTTTCATTTCCCAAATGACTGCCTTGGCAAGCGCAATACCTACCAGGCTCAACGCCGGTCTCGCGCTGCCGCTTCCCGCGCTCTCAAGGACCCGGGAGGAGGAAGGCGTGAAGGCAATCCCGAAGGCGCGAAAACGTTATCAATTGCTTCTTCTTGTACAACTGCAGCCAGATCGTACCCGTATTTACTCTGGAGTAAGCCCTAGTTTGTTCACGGGGTTTTGCTCCCGCGTAAGTGTGCACGAGGGATGGCAGCCTTAAATATCGGGGAGACGCAGGAGTCGCCTGCGCTGCTGTAATTCCCCCTCCTTTTGGGGAGGGAGGCGCTGGGCTACTGTGTTTACTTGGAAGTCCCACGGAAGTTAATGCATTATTAGGCTACTACTGGCTTAAGCCGGTGCCCGCCTTCATCCCTAGGCGAGAGGCACAGAGTTCTGTTCCGCCCGGGCGCTGCCTCTTTAAACAAGCGTGTGGTTGAAGAAGGCGCTTGCCCAGCTCCCCTCTGCGCCTCGGAGGGCGGGTTTGAGCACGCGCAATGCGCTGCCCTCCCGCCCTGCACCGCCGCCGTCTCGCGCTCCTCCCTTTTGCGCGCGCTGCCCCGCCGCTTCCCCATTGGCCGGGTCCTGTCAGCTGATCCTGTGTTATTTCCTGTGTGTGTGTGTGAGGGGAGAATGGAGAGAGAAACCTCGGCACCACCACCGCGGAGCTGCCCCCGGCTCGACGCGGATCCTCGCCGCCGCCGCCCCACCTCTCGCCGCCCGACTCGCCCGCCTCCCTCCCACGGCACACCAGGCAACGTCTCACGGCACACTAGTGTGCCGCGGAACACCAGTTGGGAAACACTGCTCTATGCCCTTGCCTGAAATTGATTTATGTTTCCTATGATCTCCCAAGTTTATACACCTTTGCACTGATGCTTCTAGTTTGTTTCATCCACCATACTTACGGGTGCAGTTCCTTGGTATCCATCTTCCCCAGTGTTGCTTGTAGGGAATTCTCCCTGCCAGATATTAGCATAGTGCCGACCACTTGGGTGAAGCTTGTTTCCCCAGGGGAAAAGTCTGTTGGAAAACACAAAGTGGCTTTAAGAAACAGAAGCAATAATGGGATTAAGTTTGGAGATTTATACATCATGCCTAAACGGCAGAATTTAACCACTCCCTGGTATTAGGAAATGTTAAAATGTGTATGAGGAAGTCCCTTCACAGTTTAAAGGAATATGGGAAGGGACTGGGCCTCGAATGACAATCCAATCCAATTCCTTTCCTCTTCCCCCTTTTCACAGATCCCCATGTGCATTTATTAAAGTTCTATTATGTTGATGCTTCTGCATATAGCTGTTTACCATCAAATAGAAAAGGCCATTTCTAATATGGCAGCTACTTCTCCCCATCCAGGTTTTCCAGGAGCTAGAATAATCAAAAGTCCCTTCATCACAAGGTGATGGGTCAGGGGAGTCTTCATTAGTTACAAGATTTGTAGGACTCATATTTAAACTTAAACAATTTAAGTTATTAGGGGGCTGCATGTTGTCTATTTAGAAGGTGAGACTAGCAAGACTTAAAGACCAAAGGGAATATATAGGATCAACTTAAGGAAGCATATACAATGGTACCTCTGGTTACGTACTTAATTCGTTCCGGAGGTCCGTTCTTAACCTGAAACTGTTCTGAACCTGAAGCACCACTTTAGCTAATGGGGCCTCCTGATGCTGCCGCGCCGCTGCTGCATGATTTCTGTTCTCATCCTGAAGCAAAGTTCTTAACCTGAGGTAATATTTCTGGGTTAGTGGAGTCTGTAACCTGAAGCGTATGTAACCCGAGGTACTACTGTATAGGAAAGGGTTTTCTTTGTTGTTTTTGCTTCCACTTGCAAAAAGGAAAGGATCAAAAGTAAAGAACCTATTCTCAAGGCCCCCTCGACAGCTATATTCCCATTCAGCCTCCGTTGGTAGCCGTTTTCCTGCCCAACTGCAAAATGCCACAGCGTCATTCCAAGAAACATGAAGAACTGGATGATCCATTCTGAAAGACAAATAAAACAAAAAACAAAATGGTGTGATCAAGGGCACCAGAGGTGCTAACTAACCTCAGCACAGGTCCTACACAGTGAAACACTAAGAACGCCACACCAAACCATGAAACTGCTTGACACAAAAATGTACGAGCCCACCGAAGCATATTAAACAAATGCAACCTGCCTTTTGCCAGTATTCCCCCCATTAGGCTCAAGTGGGTAGAACGACAGAACACAACACGAACATTCAAAGATGAATGGAGGAAAAAAGAAAGAAAGTGAAGCAATGGCTCAGAAAAGCGTGGAAGGTGGAAATGGCAAGGGAAGTAACAAAACTGATTTTGGCGTATATATGAGCAAAGTAGAGTCACTGAAATACAAAGGAGATCAGGTACCTAAAGACCGATATGGTGGCACAGTGTTATTCAGACCTTTGGAAACCACTTTCATTTTGTGTGCACAACATAATGTCTAAAACGATATGGCAAACAATACTCTGATGAGTTCTAAGCAATCTTTGTTAAATGCTCATCATTATCCAAAGTTGCTAGAAAAAAGAATGGGACATTGAAAAATTCATTTTGGGTTGAATATACATAGCTTAATAAAACTATAGTTAATTAAGCCAGGAAATAGAAGTGCACACTCCTCCTGTCATCCCTCACCTGACTTCCTTCATTTGTGCTCTCACGTTGGCCCAAATCTGGTTGATCTGCAACTCTACATGATGTCCCAAATGGAGATTTGTGGTTTAATAATGTCCTGTTTAGTCCTGTTTAACAATGGTCAAATTGCGGTTTGAGATCCTGGTTTAGTAAACAGACATTAAACCACAGAGGAGGCAGAGGGAGTATGTGTGGCATTCCGACACCCAATTCTAGCTTAATACATTATGTTTTCTTCAAGAAGAAAAGCAGGAACATTATGTCCAATCCAAGCCAGAGAGTTGCACCGCTAACTTGATTCACAGAGAGCAATGACGTGTGCGCATGCCACAGGACCAGCCAACAGTAACCAAAGTGCATTTAGCAATGCTCACTCATCTCTCCCCTCTGATTCTCCCCCCTTCTCCAACGCGCGCGCACACAGACACACACACCTCCCTCACATGCGGACTACATGTTGTGAGTTTTCACTCCTGCAGTCCCAATAAGATAATGGTCTTGCCGAAACAGTTTGTCTGAATCTCCCTTAGCAAACAACACTCTCTACACGTCACAAATTCAGCAACCCATTTTATTCATCTGTATTTGGCTTCTTCTTTTTTCAGGTTTTTATAAAACCTACAAAGGAAAGTATCATAGAACGCTGCTCTATAATAAGAAAGTGTCTTACACTGCCTTCTTATTATAGAATACTATTCTGGAATAGCATGCCTTTGACCTGTCCTAGGTCAGGATGACAAACTTCCCCAATGCAGTAGGAAGAAAGGGAGCAGCTTTCTAGAACTGTTATTTAGCACTAATTTTGACCTCTTTTTTTTTTTAATTAATTATCTCCTGGCAACTGGTGTAACTATTTTTGATGTCAGTTCATTCTCATTCCGTCCCATCGGAGAGCAAGTGACGGAATTGTCCTGAGGAGCAAGCATCAGATGATATTACAGTGATGTGGTTCTTGTCTTAAAGGATTTGAAGAATACGCCAAGTTTTGCCAGCCCTAAGGGGGAGAATCTGATTAATGCATGCTAATGACAGACTCAGGGCCACTTCATTTGTTGTAGCATTCCGCAAAGCGATTCAGGTAAGAAAAATAAAGGGTGCACATTGTGGTTACACATAATAATAATAATGGAAAGGGGTGCAGGGAGGAGGGAAGGCATAAATTTTGATAATAAATGAAGTAGAACAAAGCTTTCCATGAATGTTTGAGGCCTTTTAGGTCATTTTCTGCTCTTCCATCCCTCTTCTCCTGCCTTGCAGAAGCCACTTCCAGCTCCCTTGGCTTTTTGTATTTTGACAATATAAATGAGATTCGTTACATACTTGATTTAACCTAATAAAATAGTCTAACAGAAAATGTACCTGTGAGGCAGCTTAACAGCTCACATTAAAATTGACAAGCAAAAACTAATATAAAAATACATACAACTTCAGATAATAGAGCAAAAGCAGACCATTTAAAGTAGCAAATATGAAGAACCCAAACAGCTGTGACACAACTTTTAACATATTCTACAAACAGCCCAAAAAATCTCAAATATGTGTTCTTGGTGCTGGGGATTAGGAGTGGCCTTTTTATTTTATTTTATTGAATGAATGAATTTATATACCGCCCTATACCAGCAGGTCTCAGGGCGGTTCACAGAATAAAATCAGAATATAAAAGTTTCTCTTAGGGTTTGTTTTTAAATGTCCTGTTTTTATCTGAAGTCGTATGCATTTTTAAGTATTTTTTGCAGCCTTTCCCAGTTTGGCATTCTCCAGATGTTTTTGGCTACAAATCTCATCAGCCCCAACCATCACACCAGGGCTGATGGGAATTGTGGTCCAAATGGTCTGGAAAACCCAAGGCTGAGGAAGGCTGGTCTGCTGTTTTCATAGCACACCAGAATACTTCACCATATTACAGTGCTCCCTGGTACAACATGGTAGCTTTATTGGGGGGAAATGAAAAGTAACCCTGCATGCTCTCTTCAAATACCCTGTAAAGAACATGAGAAGGCTATAAACAGAAAATAGATTCACAGATCCTATGGTACTCATAATTCCTTGCCTGTTCAGTATCTGGGCACAGATGTCGATGAGCAAAGTATATGCACCCTACATCAATTATGGGTATAAATGGCTTTCAAAAACTGCTGCTCTTCCTTTTAAAGGAAGCAAAGCCTTCTACCTCTCTTTAAAAAGCTGCATTAGAAATAATGTGGCTTTCATAATTGCTGAAATGTACATACATCCTTAATTCAAAATATCCAGTGAGAAGCAGCCTTAAATACCACAGCTGAAACCCAATACCTATCTGAGGCTCACCTGTTTGAGATATTAGAATCGGGACCCTCAGGGTGCTTCCAGTTAGCTCCTTTAACAGGCAGCCACCAAGGAGCAACAGCCACCTAAAACAAAACAGGCAAAGAAAGTGTTGGGAGCCTATGAGAGGTCATTCAATAAGGAAGTTATCATTGGCAGTAAAAAGAGGGGTAGGAAATGACTGGTGCACATTTTTGACTTAGTGGCAGTTAATGGTCCGTTTCAGATAAGTGTACATGAAACGGCTGGCAGTCATCTTTGAGAATTCCTGGAGAACAGGCGAAGTCCCGGCAGACTGGAGGGCAAATGTTGTCCCTATTTTCAAAAAGGGGAAAAGAGAGGACCCAAATAATAATAATAATAATAATAATAATAATAATAATAATAATAATAATAATATCTTTATTGTCATTGCCCCCTCTCGGGGACAACGAAATTACTTAATTAAATAATTATCGCCCAGTCAGTCTGACATCAATACCAGGGAAGATTCTGGAGCAGATCATTAAGCTTGACAACCATATGTCAGGAGTGCTCTGATGGCGTTTCCTGCTTGGCAGGGGGTTGGACTCGATGGCCCTTGTGGTCTATTCCAACTCTATGATTCTATGATTCTATTCTATGATTCTATGGCTTTCGAACAAGCACCTTGCCTGTATGCACAATTACTTTATGGAAGCTGTGATTTGTGCAGGAAGTCTCTAATTAACCATAGTTTCCTGTTTCGTCCAAACAAGGAAACTATGGTTACTAGCTTTGGAGCAAGCCAGGATCCTAAAACCGTACTTTGATGTTAGACTATTGTGTGGCCTCGTATAAAACAGCTTCCTATCTTCCATTATCCTATTCCGTTGATCACCTTTGGGTTTCTTTTCCGCCTTCCTCTGTCTGAAATGCTACACCACGAACGTTTTCTCCCATTTGGAACGCTTCCAGCATCAGTCCCAAGAACATGGCTGAGTATACGTCATCCAACCTAATTCCAGTTGCAAGGGCTCAGAATATCCATAAAGCCCTGCCTAGGGATTTCTTACTAACCTTCCCCGCCCCCAACATGTGTGTAAACATCACAACAACGTCCCAGTTTAAAGTTTTAGGTATTCCACCACTGTAAAAGCTTCAGGTTTTTCAGTCATCAGCAAGGATTAGAGCTTTAATCTCTATTGCTTTCGCCTGTATTATGTTTCTAAAACTGAGAAGAAAGCAGAAACAGGGGGAGGGAGCATGTTAACTCCCTGGCTGCTGGGCTACTTGTTGCCCAGGGCCTGTTGTTTCCCAACCCGTGCTACTCAAGATCTTGCTTTTCCTTAAATAGAATTTGAAAAGTGCAGGTGCACAAATGGCAGGGGGTGATGGGAGTTGTTTTCCAACAACACGTGGAAAATTCCACATTGGCTATCCATGCTTTTTTACATGTGGGGATGCTGTGATGAGATCCAGTTCATACTCTGCACTGCAATACAGGGGTACGTCAGGTTAAGCACTTAATTCGTTCCGGAGGTCCGTACTTAACCTGAAACTGTTCTTAACCTGAAGCACCACTTTAGCTAATGGGGCCTCCTGCTGCCGCTGCGCCGCCGGAGCATGATTTCTGTTCTCATCCTGAAGCAAAGTTCTTAACCAGAGGTACTATTTCTGGGTTAGCGGGTCTGTAACCTGAAGCGTATGTAACCTGAAGCATATGTAACCTGAGGTACCACTGTACAGAGAAAATGACAGTCACCCACTGCAGGTAAGCCAAGTTCCAATGTGAGGTACGTCCACAATTCACAGGACAGTGCCTCTGCCGAAACAATGTCGCAACCTCAGAATGAAAGCTTCCAAGTGCCTATTAAGTCAATTATTTTCCAGCATCCTCTAAGTATGCTTCAAGCTGCTCTGTTCAAAATAGAGTGAGCTGCCTAAATCTTACATCCTTCCCAAAAAATTCTCAGAATGCTGTAAAGCTTCTAATTGTTATAAATCTAATTAGCCTTTGTACTAATGAGGTAAGAGATATAAGAGCCCCAGATCATTTAATACCACAATCCTTCTCTTGCAACTAAGGGGATTAATTGCTTTCCTAATACCTTGCATTCTCATGCTTCGGATCAAAGGAAATGTGTTCTACAACAGAAGCAGCAATGCGTCGGAAAGGGAAAGGGTTGGGGCGGAAACACAGGAGTATTGACTAGAGAGAAAAACATGGCCTTCACTGTGTTCGACTCTCTGTAGAAGGGCTCTATAGATCAACAGACGCAATCCTCTGCTCCAAAGATAATGTATTCTGCATCTAAACACTTTCTGCCTTTGGTACTTTTTGAGTAGTTTTGGATGTTGCCCTTTCTGTATTTGCCCTAATCATTCAGTCACAAAATAACAATTGCAATCTGGTTAATAAGCAGATAGATGTTTTTTATTTTCCTGCAGCAATAACAAAAATCTTGGCTCTGTAGGTTTATAGGATGATGTCTTGTAGGGTCAGGAATGGTGTCATTTAAGGCAGGGGTGGGAAGCTGTGGACCTTCAGGTGTCGTCAGACTCCAGCTCCTATCATCCATGAGCACTGGCTAGAAAGGGCTGATGGGAGTTGGAATCTGAGAACATCTGAAGGGCCCCAGGTTTCCCACCCTGGCCTTATATAAACTTAAGAGCATTGGGCTGTCTAGTCTAGTGCTGACTAACAATGGCTCTAAAGCAGGGGTAGTTAACGCATGTCTCACAGGCTATATCTGTTCCCCCCCCCAACCCCCAAACTTTGTGCCTCATCCCCTCAATGTCAAATAAATAAATAAATAAATAAATAATAATACAGTGGTACCTCAGGTTAAGTACTTAATTCGTTCCGGAGGTCCGTACTTAACCTGAAACTGTTCTTAACCTGAAGCACCACTTTAGCTAATGGGGCCTTCTGTTGCTGCTGCACCGCTGGAGCACGATTTCTGTTCTTATCCTGAAGCAAAGTTCTTAACCTGAAGCACTATTTCTGGGTTAGTGGAGTCTGTAACCTGGAGCATATGTAACCTGAAGCGTATGTAACCTGAGGTACCACTGTAATACTAATAATAATAATATAGCAGCCTTTCTCAACCATGGGCCCCCAGATGTTGGACTACAACTCCCATCTTCCCTGACCCTGGTCCTGCTAGCTAGGGACGATGGAAGTTGTAGTCCAACATCTGGGGGTTGAGAAAGGCTGGTACATGTGATACTGTGAGGCCAAACCAGGTTTTGTGGCCTTCGTCCCCCACCACGTGCCATTATGTTTTTAATTTTTTAGAAAACTTACTGCTTCTGCAGGTCCCCTGCTGGGATTCTATGACCCCCCCCCCAAAAAAATTGTGACACTCCCAAACCCCATTCAAAATTTGTCATTTTAAAAAATGGGGGGGAAACCTCTGTTTAATAATGAATACATGATAAAAACATTTAATAATGAATGAATAATAAAGACATTATTTAAAATAACTGGAAACCTTTGGAAGGCAACATTCAGAACTGCAGCTTTTGCCACTCCCATAATTACACTTTGGCTACACCCACTTTTGATATGCAGCCTCTGGAGAACCACGCCTGCCCTGAAGATCTTTCATACCCAAAGTGAGAGTCAGACCACCAAGCCTGGCTCTTTCTCAAGATTTAGCAGTGAAAGAACCTTCCCAGGAAAAACCGACATCAATATGCAGTTACAACAGAGCCTGCCTACAGACCCTCTCTGACCCAAGTGGAGCCAGCATTTATAATCAACCTGTTTTAACAACAGTGGCAGCACCAGACAGTAACATGGTGATAGCACAGTGGGAGAAGTGGCGCATCAATTTTGAAAGAAGTAGATGGAAGACTACAAAAGAAGCTGGGAACACAAAGAACAATGTCCCAGAATTGGGGTGGGGAAAGGCATACGATGGGAGTCACTTGTGGGATTCTGTGATAGGGCATTAATAGGGAAACTGGAGCACAGATGGTGCTTTGCAGAGATGCTATGGGGTTGCAATAAGTTTTGACGTGTGCTTTGGATTTTCCACTTGGGTTCAGGGTATCAAGTTCGAAAGGAAAGTAAGGGTAGATACCGAAGTATAGAGGAGGGTTCCGGTCTACCTCAGGGTCATGCTTTCTGATTTAGTGGTCTTCCCTCTTTATCCCAGATTTCCAGAGACTGGGTGTGACTACTGAGTGGTGAGACAAAGGAACTTATCCATACTCAGTTTCATTCTCTTACTCCTTCATGTAGACCCCACAGCTGAAACTTGGCACTGAAACAGGTCCTGCTACTTTGCCCTGGCTCAAATTAAACCCTGCCTCTGTTCGGGTCTTGGCATATGATTGTGACCGAGTCCTGATCCATTAACAAGCACAGGCTCAAGATCTCGGAGGGAAATGCTTGCATAATTGCAAATGCAGAGATATGGTGTGATGTATTTCACAGGCAGAAACCTCCAATCAATCGTTTTGCATTCTTGTGCATGTGATCAGCTTACAAAACCCACATCACCATGACCATAGATTAGCTCCATCACTGCGCTCGCAAAGAAATCTGTGTTCTGTCGGCAAGGCATTATTAGCCTTGCCAAGTCATCAGGTCACGGCCAAGCTTCCTTTAAAATGTTGAAACATAGCAATCTCACTTTTCCGTAAAGGCAGTTTATTTTCTGAAGTTACATAATGCCTAAAGCTGGCAGCTGCATACCAAATACTTGAATTCAAAGCCAAATGCAATACACACTTGGGGTAGAGGGAATTGTGGAGTGGGGCGGGGGAGGGAGAAAAGTCACAATTTGTTTCCTTAGTGTCTACCCCCACTCCCAAATCTCATTTAGGGTTTGAAACTTCTTCCAGGAAAAAGAAGTGCGCCCAAATAGGAATGATGGGTAGACAATGGCGTGTTTGTGTTTATGTGATTACGTATACATTTATTTACTACCCACCCTTTGTCATAGTGTCCCAGCACGGGCTACAACAATAAAATGCAATATTAAACTCAGTTTAAAACAACTTACAATAACATCTGTCATGGATGCTATAACTGAGATTTCCTAGGGATGCAGGTGGTGCTGTGGTCTAAAACCACTGAGCCTCTTGGGCTTGCTGATTGGAAAGTCAGCGGTTC